TTTCAACGTAGTGGCCTCATTTGATTTTCTCAACAGTTGTAAATGGAAGGTCTCGAATGGTACATGGTGTTTGCAATGAAGCATTAGATGAGTTGATTAAAAGTACACAACTTAAAGCAACAAAATATGATAATAATTATTATCTTCTATGGATTTCTTATAGTGATTTAACAAATATTGAACAGATTGGTAAAGGTGGGTTTGCAACTGTATACAAAGCTACTTGGTTGAATGGTGAGAAAAGTGTAGATTATGAAATTAACGAAAGAACTAGTAAAGATTTGACTGTGGCATTAAGAAAATTACCTAATTCACAGAATATTTCTGATAAATTTCTTAATGAGGTAAATTATTTTGTTCAGATTTTTTTAAAATATTATGGATTATTGTTGTAATTAAATATTTTATTTATTGTTTTAGTTCAAAAATTATATTAAGTTTCAAGATAAAGTAGATATAATTACAGTATATGGTTTAACGCAAGATCCAATTACAAAAGAATATATATTTGTAATGAAATATATAAAAGATGGAAGTCTTCAAAATTATTTAAATGAAAATTTCAAAAATTTAAAATGGGAAGATAAAATTGATATCCTTAGACAAATTATTAGAGGTTTAAAAGATATTCATGAAAAAGAAATTGTTCATCATGACCTTCATAGTGGTAATATTCTTCATTATAAAAAAAAGATGTATTCATATATTGCAGACTTAGGACTATCATGCCCAGCTAGTCAAACATCATCATCAAATAAAAATGGTATATTTGGGGTAATGCCATATATGGTTTCCCTTTTAAAACTTCTGGTGCAATATATGGTAGTACTCCATATATATCATTTTTGTTTGATGATGATGTTTGACTAGCTGGGCATGATAATCCTAAGTCTGCAATAAATGTAACCATATATTTATTATCATGAAGAATATTACCACTATGAAGATCATGATGAATAATTCCTTCTTCATGAATATTTCTTAAACCTTTAATAATTTCATAAAGAATTTTAATTTTGTCTCCCCATTTTAAAATTTTAAAATCCTTAATTAAATAATCTTGAAGACTTCCATTTTTCATATATGCCATTACAAATATGTATTTTTTTGTAATTGGATCTTGTGTTAATCCATAAGTATGAATTATAGATCCTTTACCATTAAGTTTCATATAATTTTGAAACTAAAATAACAAATAAAATAATTAATTACAACAATGATAAACAATAATATTTAAAAATCTGAAAATAAATTGAAAAATAAAATAATTTACCTCTTTAAGAAATTCATCAAAAATAATATTCTGTGAATTATGTAATTTTTTTAATACCACAGTCATATCTTTGATAAATATTTTATTTCCAACAGTTTCTTTATGACCATTTAACCAAGTAGCTTTTTGATATAGTTGCAAAACCACCTTCTCCTTTCTCTTTTACATATACCTATTGGTGTCTTTTATTTTATTGGCAATTCTTCTTAATATTTACGTACTGCATTCTCATATGCAAGTTATTTTCTAAAGGGCACGATTGCAGTGGGCTACTCATTTTTCCCAAAAGGATACTACACGAGAATCGAAAGCTTTGTTATTTAATCAGGCTGGTTATCTGTGATTGTGATGAATGTTACAACCTCCCAATTCAATAAAGAGAGACAGGTGATATAAATATTGAACCTACGAAGCAAATAATTTTATCTATAAGATTGAACTATCTAGGGTTGGGCCTAAATTAAAAGTTGACTTTGTCATTTTCATCTTCAGCATTGAATCAAACAATCAACCAATCATATGAATATAAAAGGCTCAGAAACTTGCTTGCTCTTTTTAGAGATTGACACATTCATTGCTTAGATTTTCTAACCGGTTAACTGTAATTATAACGCAGGATTTTCCAGTTACTTAATTTGAGTACATAGATTGCTGACGATTTAGATTCACGGTAATATTATAATCTAATTTGATTTAGTTAATTAATCCTGGACATCTCATTTTGCTTAAATTCTTGGTAAAAATAGTATGAACATAGTGAAAAAATTGACTGGCAATTGAAACTTTATTGATTTTGTTTTTTACGAGCATTCGGTCGAAGTTTTAGAGTTTATTTTTATTTTAGAAAGAATCTTTACAACATAATTATTAGTTTATGTCTCATTTCTAAAGATTTTCATCTTTAATAAATGAATCTTTTTTTTGACTCGGAACTGACAAGATGTTGATTAAATTCGTTATAGATGTTTTGTTTATCTCCTTCGAATTGTCTTTTCATCTCTTCTTCCTTGCCTCTAATATATTCATCAACAGCTTTCTCATGGGATGCCAGTATTTGATTAAGTTTCAATGTTTGCTCATTCAACTGTTGTTGTATATTCTCTTGTTCTTCTTTTTTAACGTCATCATCAGATTTCAGGACTTCAGATATTTTAGTATTCGAATTATGATAAATTTCTTTGTCTTTTGTATTCTCTTCGTTTTCTTTTTTAACAACATCATCAGATTTAAAAATTTCAGATATTTTAGTATTCAAATTATAATAAATTTCTTTGCCTTTTACTTTTGTATACTGAGTAATATCTGTCAAATTTCTTTCGAATCTATCAAAAGTTCCTTGTCTATGCAAATCCCCAACATAATCAACAACTTGTTCTGCACCATATACATGTTTTGTGAACATACCACGAAAAGCATCATTCTTTAATGAATAATAAACTGCGCTACCATACATCACTCCACCTAAAAATGTCACACCAAATACAAATCTTCCAAATCGAAATCTTTTTTTTTGTTGTTTTTGATTTTTTTCTGAAGTATCATCTTTATTATCAGTTGACTTGCTTGTTGTCTTTGTTACTGATGCTGCTACTTTACCAGATTCGCCTTGTTTCTTTGATTGGTCATTGCCAATACCACTACCACTGTTAATGGCGGTGGTGGCGGCGACATTGGATTTATTGTCAATTGGAGAGGATTTATTAGGCGTGGGTTTATTTGATGTTGTATTAGTAAAAGTAGATTTATTTTGGTTATTAGATTTTTGTTCTTTTTTATCATCCTTGGTTGAAAAATTATTCTTCTATTATTGTCATTGTTATTATTATTATTTAAAATTAAAGATATTACGCATATATAGAAGATTATATATAGAAAATAATCTTAACCTGAACTATTATTCTTGGTAATTGCTGTTGTTTATTTGTTACATGTCTAGTTGAACTTGATAAATAATAATATCTTGCAGTAACGGTGGTAGATAATTTTGTTTTCATTGACATTACATCAATTGATGGTATTCTGATAATACAATTAGGATGTCGTGTGATTCTATACATAATTTTAAGTTTTTAAATAAAAAATTTTTTTATTGATAATAATTGTGAGATTGAGAAAAAAAAAAAAAAGAAATCGATACGACGATTTTTTGCCTTTTTTGTTTAAAATTTCCGATTGAATTATAGAGGGCCGAATAATAATAATAAACGTACCAGGAGTTTCTTTTTTTGATAAAACATCTTGTACTTTGTTTTGCTTATTTTGTGTATCCACTGCATAGAAAAGTATTCAGAGAGCCAGTTGAAAAAATGTGTTTCTAGAAGTGGAAAACAGAGAAGTAATTTTCCTTATTAACCAAGATCTTGAAATCCATTGTTCAAACATATATTCATTTATTCAATTCTCCTTTCTCTTTTACATATACCTATTGGTGTCTTTTATTTTATTGGCAATTCTTCTTAATATTTACGTACTGCATTCTCATATGCAAGTTATTTTCTAAAGGGCACGATTGCAGTGGGCTACTCATTTTTCCCAAAAGGATACTACACGAGAATCGAAAGCTTTGTTATTTAATCAGGCTGGTTATCTGTGATTGTGATGAATGTTACAACCTCCCAATTCAATAAAGAGAGACAGGTGATATAAATATTGAACCTACGAAGCAAATAATTTTATCTATAAGATTGAACTATCTAGGGTTGGGCCTAAATTAAAAGTTGACTTTGTCATTTTCATCTTCAGCATTGAATCAAACAATCAACCAATCATATGAATATAAAAGGCTCAGAAACTTGCTTGCTCTTTTTAGAGATTGACACATTCATTGCTTAGATTTTCTAACCGGTTAACTGTAATTATAACGCAGGATTTTCCAGTTACTTAATTTGAGTACATAGATTGCTGACGATTTAGATTCACGGTAATATTATAATCTAATTTGATTTAGTTAATTAATCCTGGACATCTCATTTTGCTTAAATTCTTGGTAAAAATAGTATGAACATAGTGAAAAAATTGACTGGCAATTGAAACTTTATTGATTTTGTTTTTTACGAGCATTCGGTCGAAGTTTTAGAGTTTATTTTTATTTTAGAAAGAATCTTTACAACATAATTATTAGTTTATGTCTCATTTCTAAAGATTTTCATCTTTAATAAATGAATCTTTTTTTTGACTCGGAACTAGAAAACATATTATTATTAATATAAAGTGGATATTCACGAATACTTCTATATTATTATTATTATTATTATTACTATTTATTACTATTACTCTTTAATTTACCATTACCATTGATCTGCAGGACATGTCAATATTAATATTATCCCTTAAGCGGTTTTTCGGCTATTGATAGCTGAAAATTTTTGAGACGCAGCCGATTGATCTATATATCCAGTTGACCTTGTGGTTTTCGTAAAATCTTTAAAAGTTGACCGATTGACTTTGCAGATCATTAAATTGACCAATAAGAATGCAAGATCGAGATCAAAAAATTATGTGGAATCGAAATTTATAATTAAAATTTTGGGGTGGGGTGCTTGTATATGAAATTCTGATTGGCTAATTTGAATTTCACATATTTTGTGGCTTTTTAGAAAAAAAATTTTTTCGACAAATAATACAATAATCATGTATTTTGTAAGAATAAAATATTATGATGATACTGATGATACTTCTACTGAAAATAATAATGACGATGGATATTCCAGGGAAAGAAACAAAAAATACGGGGAATGTCCAACTTGCAATAGATATAATACTTATAAGGCATGGTGTCAATCATGTGATCCAAAGCTATTAATTGAAGGATGGACTAGTGGCAATGAAACATTAGATGAGTTGATTAAAAGTACACAACTTAAAGCAACCAAGTATGATAATAAATATTATCTTCAATGGATTCCTTATAATGATTTAACAAATATTGAAAAGATAGATGAAGGTGGCTTTGCAACTATATCCAAAGCTACTTGGTTAAATGGTCATAAACATACTTGTGGAAATAAAAGAATTAGTGATGATATGCCTGTGGCATTAAAAAAATTACATAATTAACAGGATATTTCTGATAAATTTCTTAATGAGGTAAATTATTTTATTTTTTTATTTGTTTTTGGATTCTTTAAATATTATTCTGAAATTCAATATATTTTTTATATAGTTTAGAAATTATTGCAAAATCATTTATAAATAGAATTTATGGATTAACACAAGATCTGGTTACAAAAGAATATATCTTTGTAATGAAATACATGGAAGATCGAAGTCTTCAAGATTATGAAGATCTATATGTTAGAGATGAAGGATTTGGTGAATGTCCAACCTGCAATAAATATAATACCAGTAGGTCATGGTGTCAATCATATGATCAAAAGTTATTAACTGAAGGATGTACTAGTGGTAATGAAAAATTAGATGAATTGATTAAAAGTACACAACTTAAAGTGACTGAGTATCATTATAGTAATCATCTCCAATGGATTCCTTATAATTATTTAACAAATATTGAAAAGATTGGTGAAGGTGATTTTGCAACTATATCCAAGGCTACTTGGTTAAATGGTTATAAAAATGTAAATTATAATAATGAAAAAACTATCAAAGATATGCCTGTGGCATTAAAAAAATTACATAATTCACAGAACATCTCTGATGAATTTCTTAATGAGGTAAATTAATTAGTTTTAAAATCTTATTGATTATCATTATTATTGTAATTAAATATTTTATTTGTTATTTTAGCTCAAAATTATACAAAATTTCATGATAAAGTTTATATTTATTGATTAACACAAGATCCAATTACAAAAGAATATATCTCTATAATGCATCATATGGAATATGGAAGTCTTCAAAATGATGAATATTCTGATGAAAGAGACAAAGGATATGGGAAATGTCCAACTTGCAATAGATATAATACTTATAAGGCATGGTGTCAATCATGTGATCCAAAGCTATTAACTGAAGGATGGACTAGTGGCAATGAAACATTAGATGAGTTGATTAAAAGTACACAACTTGGAGCAAGAAGATATGCTAATAATTATTATTGTTATCTTCAATGGATTCCCTATAATGATTTAACAAATATTGAAAAGATAGGTGAAGGTGGTTTTGCAACTATATCAAAAAGCTACTTGGTTAAATGGTCATAAAGAAACTGTTGGAAATAAAATATTTATCAAAGATATGACTGTGGTATTAAAAAAATTACATAATTCACAGAATATTATTTTTGATGAATTTCTTAAAGAGGTAAATTATTTTATTTTTCAATTTATTTTCAGATTTTTAAATATTATTGTTTATCATTGTTGTAATTAATTATTTTATTTGTTATTTTAGTTTCAAAATTATATGAAACTTAATGGTAAAGGATCTATAATTCATACTTATGGATTAACACAAGATCCAATTACAAAAAAATACATATTTGTAATGGCATATATGAAAAATGGAAGTCTTCAAGATTATTTAATTAAGGATTTTAAAATTTTAAAATGGGGAGACAAAATTAAAATTCTTTATGAAATTATTAAAGGTTTAAGAAATATTCATGAAGAAGGAATTATTCATCATGATCTTCATAGTGGTAATATTCTTCATGATAATAAATATATGGTTACATTTATTGCAGACTTAGGATTATCATGCCCAGCTAGTCAAACATCATCATCAAACAAAAATGATATATATGGAGTACTACCATATATTGCACCAGAAGTTTTAAAAGGGAAACCATATACAATGGCATCAGATGTATACAGTTTTGGAGTTTTGATGTCTGTAGTATCAACTGGTCAACAACCATTTAATAATTTGGCACATGATGTAAATCTTGCAGTAAAAATATGTGAAGGTGTAAGACCAGGATTCTCAAACAACACACTAAAATTCTATATTAGACTAGCATTCAAATGCATGGATGCTAATCCAGATAAACGTCCAACTGCTAAAGAAATTTATAAGACTATTAAAATTTGGTATAATTCATTTAATTATAATTTGTCAGTTTATAAATGTGAATCAATCAGAAAAAAGTTTGAGAAAATGGATGAAATAAAATTTGATCCTTCAACAATTACTACAGTAATTCATCCAAATGCTATTTACACTAGCAGATTATTTGAATTTACAAACCTTCCCCAACCTGTGAATTCCAATAAAGTAACAATTATTGGTAATAATAATGGTAATTATTAACATTCAATCATTGATTATTTTCATTTTTATTAATTTTTAAAATTAACAATATCCACTCTTGTAATAAATATTTTGTATATTCTAAACAAATTGATTTAGCTATTTTTGTAGATTCTACACAGATTGAGTTAACTATACCAGATGAATTACCTGAATAAGTTAAATCTTGTTATTATTTATTATTTGTTATTTATTTCTATTATTATTTATTTTTAAATATCTTGAGTAATGATGTTATATAAAGGTAACTTTCACAATTATCATTGGAATTTTTTCATTTGAAATTTGGATGTTGAATATGCACACTAAAATAATGACTTTTGACAAAAAATAAATGTAATTTTATTTATTTCAAACCAATGATTTCATTTTTTTATAGCATTAATAAGTTGCACACTAAAATATTGATTTTTGACAAAAAAATAAATGTAATGTTTAATAATCATAATTGCAGTATTATTTATTTCTTACCTTTTCAAATCAATGTTTTCATTTTTTTATATTATTAACAAGTTGATATAATATTTATTAATATAAAATTCATAATTTAAATATGATAAAAATTATCAAATAAAAAGCTCATATCTAATCATTTTACTTACTTGTTGAACCACTATTGCAATCAACTTCCAGAAGAGGTTTCCCTTTAGTTGACCCAAATGGTTCTTTCCCCAAAAAATACACAACAAAGACGCAAACTATGGTAGACTGATTACAGGTTTTGTTGAATCAAACAATGTCAAACTCTCGGTCTTATTTAGAAACTCTGACCTGGAATTTGATGTTTCCCCAATGAAAAGGGGCACTATGAGTACTAAGGATGTTAGCTGAAATGGTTTTTGAAAAAATCAATTTTGGCAAGCAATTTCGGATTTACAATATTATTCTTTATATCAATAGACGTAAAAAAACTACTGAGAATTTTAACTATTGAGTTAAAGTGTTCAAAATAATTTCAGATATAATTTTGACAACTAATAAAGTTGATTTCAGCATTTTGGATTTGGCAATGATCATTTATTAAGAGAGCAATTTCAGTTAACATGCTTAATGAGCACATTAAAAAATACCACCTTCAATAGATAGCTAGCCACATTGATGCTTGAGAAAAGAAGAAATTTTCAAAATTAGAACCAGATACTGGCCATCAGAAATGTGAACTGTGAGAAACATCCAATCTGAACCAACTTTATTGTTAGTAGCTCTTATGGCAGTCATAAAATCCTGGAAAAGTCAAAAGCCACAACCTTGCTTTCGAATTTGAGAACTATGTCTTTTCAAAAAGAAATAGGTACCTACAGCCTTCCCACACTTTTGTGATGGCCAAAAACAAATGGACCCACTTGCATGAAATACCAAGCAATCACCCATTGCACATCTACCTACATTATCGAAATATGCTGGAACAAGTTGTGGAAGGACCCTGGGGATGGTGAATCAGGGCATTTCTTCAAACATGACAAATTTCAAAATCATAAAATGATCCACATGTACAACTTTACTTACATGGAAAAAAAGAAACATCTCAATACAATCTATGCAGAAATTTCATCATGGAAAACATTGTACAGTTTGGTCATGAAATATCAGATTACACCATTGTAACCATCAAATGGAGAACTGTGCTCCAAAGCCACAATCAGATCCAAAATCCCAGGTTGAAATCAAAATTATTCAACACCAAAGATGAAAGAGGTAGGTTTATTGTCTAGTGAGTGTCACCCATTCTTTTACATTTCACTAGACATACAGTGAACCCTTTTCTTTAATAACTTGTGATGAAGGTTACAGCAATATCAGAACAAGACTTGCTAGGATGTTTTACCACATACTAAGAAAGATTCCTCCTAAGATACAACAAAGCAATAAATTCACTTAAAAATAGCTACTTAAAAAAAAAAGAGCATCATTTCAGAGGCATATGTGACAATTTTTTTATCTGAGCTTGAGAATCAAGATCTATGTTTCATCAGTTGGCATCATTGGAAAATATCAGATGGAAAATATACCTACTTCTTTTTGACAGGTTTGGGAAGTCCTTCATGACAAGACAAATCATTAGTCTAAAAGAAAAGAATACCTGTTGATAGCCCCTACTGGTGTCATCACCCGGAACATTGGTGGAAAGACCATACACTCATCCTTGAAAGATACAAAGGAACATTGATTTTTCCAAACAGTGCACATGAGACTGAACTACAGGAATCAATGCCATTATAATAAATGAAATATCTATGGTGGGCAATGATCTGCTCATCTTCATCAACAATAACATTGAACTCAACGCATATAACACTCTTGATCTTTAACATTAATGTGGCTCATATCAACCAATTCTTTCTTTTCTAAAACTTGTTTGATATCAGAATCACTAACTATCTTTAAAAAAATAATATCATTTATATTAATCTAATTTTTATTTTTATTAAATAATTTTTTACCATTATTTTCTGAATCACATATTGAAGTATCATTGCTTTCTCAAGTTTTATTTGTAATTGAATTTTTATCAGTAGAAAAAAACGATTTCCTGAGTGTCTTCAATTTTTGTTATATCAACAAAATAATTAGTGGGGTGCATATCTCACAATAAATAAAGTTCAAAGTTCACCTCATTTCTGCTAGGGTTTCTATTTGTAATTTGTATTGAAAACTCTTATTCAAATTATTCATAATACAAAACTCAAATTATTCATTTTATTCAAATGGAAACCCTAGTTCTGGTCAAGTGCAAGGTTTTCTTCCCAGCTTTGTATGCTCTAAAAAAAATAGAAATATACTACTTGAGGCATCACTACAAGCAATATAGTAAAATCAAAAGAATTCTTAATAGTTAAAGGTTGGCCAAGAAACAACAATCACACTCCAAACATTGGTTTTGAACCATCCTTCCAGATGAGACTTTCTAAAGTCTTTAGATATTTAGTTCATATCTAGGAAGACTAGCAATAACAGAAAATAATGAGATAAAAGTACCAATGATATACTGTATGACTAATTAATTATTCACAATTGTGCAAATACTTGATGAACATAATGATAGTTGAAATGTTTTTTAGGATCATAGAGTGAAATATTGAATCCAGCATTTACTATTACTCACATTTCATTGAAGACAAGCCCAAAGGATGTTAAGAGAGACATTTTAATTTGTGTGCACATCTTGTTATACTTGAGAATTAAAAAAAAATCACTTTTCAGTATCTTAGAAGGAAATTAATCAATTTATCTGGTACTTCAGGATCAGCTAGAATATTAAAGTTTGTAATCTATGGAAAGAGAGGATCCAAAGAATTAAAAACCATACTCATTGTGTGGTTAGATATAAAGGAAAATGAATTCACCATCACTGCAAACTGAAACTAAGAATGTTTTACCAATATTTGGTTTTGCAAACAATTATTTAGACATTTTGGTGTGATAGATAATACTTTTGCAGGTACATAAATTATCAAGACTGATGAAGATGAAGATGAGTGGGATTTTTTTGAAAAGTAATATATTCAAATAATCAATTATTACAGCGAAAGACTCCTTCATTCAGTCATTTAATTTTTCTTTCCGAAATAAAAAGTAATACAACCTTAGTTATGTAAACCAAATTAGGCATTTATATAATTTTTATATAGAAAAATATTTTTAATTCTAATACTAAAGAAATAAATTCGAAAATAAAGACCCGTGGTAAATAACAAGAGTTGTCATTAGATTAAGATAGTAATATTTCATGAATATGAGGCCATTATAAATACATTATTAGTAATGAAAGAGCATAAGAAAATAAAATATCAGCTCATGTGATTGTAGAGAAAAAGGTAGAGATTGACTTTTAATAATTTTTTTTATTTGCAAAAAAATGTAGAACATTTAGACCCTTCTTCTTACTTTATAAAATGGATCAAATGGATAAAGAAGAACTTCAGGTTTAAATGGCCAATTATCGTATTTTTCTGCAATCTCATTAAATTGTTCCACTGTTAAATTTGTGATCAATGTCTTTGAATCAAATGATAAATCTTTAAGAAGTTTTTCGGTTCCTGCACCTAAAGTTCTTTAAATGTATTTAAAAAAACAATTCACTATTTTATATTTATTTACATTAATAATAATAATAATCATTATGATTGATATTAATATTATTTTACCTTATCATTTCTTCCACTTTCCCTTTCCTTTTAACCAATAAATGTGATACAACATATTGATATGTTTGCCATGGAACTGGAGATCAAAATATGGAAAGAAATTAGCATATAAATATAATTTGAATTGGAATATTAATAATTCATTTGATAATAAAAGGCTTATCTTTTACCAGTGATTTTTGGAGTTATGAATGGCTTCAAATCCAAAAGAGCATATTCACCCTAAAAAATTTTCATATAAAAATATTTAAATAAAATAAATTACAATTTGTAATTAATATATTTTAAATTTAAATTTTTACTTTTGGATAAAATCCATCTTTAAATATTTGTAGCAATTCCATATCTCCAAGACCTTCTGCAAATAAATTTAATTGACTTCGTTTATTATCTCCTTCTCCTGATAATAACCTCTATCAACATAAAAATCAAAAATTTATCAGCATACATGTAAATAAATAAGTAAATAAATGTATGTGTATGCATGTGTATATGTATTGACCTCAGCTTGACGTGAATGAGTTATTAGATACATTGGTATACGTCCAAATGATTGTAATCCCCATTTGTCATAAATCATTGAAATTATTGATGATATCATTTGATCTCCCATTTTACCAAAAGGAATTTGGCTCACAGAAATAAGTGATGGATGTCCTAAACAAAATTATATTTAACAAACATACACACATTACATGTATCTTTGATTGATAGTTTATGAATTAATACCCATTTCCCAAGAAGATATTGGTATATCAGAAAAATCTTCTTTTTTATTTAGAAAATCTGCTTCCAACATTGGATCAACTTCAAAGACATCATATCTATGTTGTAATTCTTCTTTCAGTGGCTTATGTGTAGAGGTGAGAGCAAGAATTAAGATTGTAAGATTCATCTCATGAAAGTAATTTTTTAGTAATCAGGTTATTTATATTTAACACATACTTGTAAATAACTGACAATATGTTTTAATGGCTCTAAAGAAAATACTTTTTTAACATTTTTGTTTTGAAGTAAAGCATGTGTCAGCATTCCTGATCCTGTTTAGGATTTCAAAATAAATAAATAAATATTTAAATATATTTATTCATATATATATATATTTCCAAGCTTAATTATAATTAACCAAACCTGAAAAAATAGAGACCAACCAGGATTTATATCAAATACTATTGCATTTTTAGGAATCTTTATTGCATTAATAATTTCATCTATCAAAAAACATTTTTTTTTTTTGAAATCGTAATTAAGTAAAACTTTTATAAATGAATAAAATAATTTTTTTCAATTTACTTGCAACATTTGCATCAAGTATATTTATTCGACTTCTTGATATTGAACGGTTCATAACTTTTGGTCGCCACATCTTTTGCAAAATTTAAAATTCTGTATACTGCAGATCTGCAACAAAAAGTAAAACCCTTAGAAAAAATATTATTTGAACATAAGAGGTTTCGGAAGCTGATCGTTTCACACTTTTATAAACAGATTCTGATTCTGTTGCTATTACAAGACATTAATTCAGCTATTGCCATTAATATCTTGATCACATCACAACATTATATTGGCATGGTGCAAGTCACTGAACTTTTTATTAGCTATGTATATTCTTTAAATCCTCCAAAAATAGAAATGTATGGTCCAAAAAACAAATCATATAATTAAAGCTAGGAGCTTACTCTACAATTCTATGATTTCATTTCGTTTGATATGTGTTATTACATGAGGTATATAGCTTGACAAAAATAAGGTGATTGAGCTTTACTGAAATTTTGAAAAATCAAGTGAAAAAATTTTTTGTTATATTAATATGTAGTCAACTCGTGCAACTTTGAGGCTTTAATCCCTCAAAGTTAACGTGACATATCAAACAAAAGACCTTTCTTTACAATTCTATGATTTCATTAGCTTTAATTCTATGATTTGGCCATACCATTTCTATTTTTAGAGGAGAAAAGGATATACAGTACACAGCCAATAAAAAGTTCCGTGACCAAGTGACTTGCATCATAGTGGTAGTACGTCGAGCCCCTCAAATTTATTTGCATGAAAATCTTAGGTTCTAAATCTTTGCGAAAAAAGTTGCCAAGATGTCGAAAAGTTTAGATCGAGTGACTGGTACATTTCAAATTTGATATTATTATTATTATTATTATTATTATTATTACTATTTAAAAAAATCGTTTATTGATAATAAATAGTTCTTGATGAATATACACGAAATCGAAATACTCAACATCATTTAAATGCACTTGAACGTGACAATTACGCGGTGATTCCTGAAATTGAGATCATGTCAGGAACCATAACAAAACCACGAAGAGCTTCTGAAGTTGATGTTAGTGTCAGTAAGTATAAATTAGAAGCGATAGCAACTAAAATAATAATAATCAATTGATTTATATTTATTAGATAAAAAAACCAAAGCAAGAAATAAAAAAGAGCTTGTGAAACAATTGGCAGTAAAAAGAACTTTGAATTCTTTAATAGAAGAAGCAGTAAGATTTATAATATATAATAATTAATGATTAATTTTATTATTATTATTATTAAATAAAATGAGGGTTTTTTATAGGGACTTGAAGAACTTCCATCAGATGTTCCTAATTATCTTACAGCTGCAGTTGGACCTTCTAAATTTCCTTCAAGGAAATTTTGCTCAGTCTGTGGATTCTTATCAAAGTATACTTGTAGAACTTGTGGAATGAAATATTGTAGTTTAAAATGTTTAGAAACTCACAAAGAAACAAGGTTAATATATGTTTTTTAAATTTATAAAAATTTATAAACTTATTAAATGTTTTATTTTATTTTTTAGATGTATGAAATATACTGTCTAAAGTATTTCACGTCTTTTGCTTCATCCAGTTCAATACTTTCTTTTCATACTTTGAAAGATCATTAAAATTTTGATATTTATTCAAATATTTGAACAGTTGGTCTATTCTCCAGATTAGGATCTCAGTAACTTTTCATTAATTCCGCATAACTTCTAGGCGTATCCTCAGATATCTGAGGCCTTTCCCCATTCCAAATACCTAATATAAGACTTCCATCGTGTAGCCTGCCATAAAATGGGGTTTTATCCAAGGTAAAGTAAATTCCCATATAATCATTCCAATGCTGTAAACGTCGGATTTTTTTGTGTACAACATTCCTAATAATACTTCAGATGGCATGTATGGAGGCACTACAAAAGTTTCTTTCGAAATATTATCATCTGAATTATTATTATTGTTATCGTGGCTTGACTGACCTAAGCTCAATACCTATCTCTCTATTGCTTTTTCAATGATGCATAATTAGTCCGTTTCAACTCTAATGGTTTATTAATTGAATTTTCATAAAAAAAAATTTTTCTTGTTCTATATCTTCTTCCCAGCAACTACCATCATCACCACTTATTCAACTTCATTATCAGGAACTCCTGCCAAAGAATCATTTAATTCTATTTGTTTTACATCACCTTCTTCCAGCCAATATCATCATTATCAAAGAATTACTATCAAAGAATCATTCAATTCCATTTCTTTTCCTTTATTTATTTTTTTTACGCCATTGGAATTTATTTCTTCATTAAATAGTGGTATTTTATTGGTGCAAACTTCGTGGTGATACATAATCAATAGTTACAAAAACAGTTCAGTTTTGCTATATTATTTGTTGTGTCCCTAAATTTTTTTACAAATATTCGAAAATCAATTTATTCAAAGATATTTGAATATATATCATTTATTTCGAATATTTGTTTTCGGATATTAATATTAATTATTTCGGATATTCGTAATTATTTCAGATGCCTATATTTATTTTGAATATTCGTAATCATTTCAAATATTTGTTACGATTACAAATATTTGATAGATAAATTTTAATTCCTCAATTTTCAAGTATGGGTGGATTAACTGATTTAACATTAGAAGATAAGCCAACTCATGTTCATGAATGTTATCTAACAACCAATTCGGAAGCCTTTTCATTACTATTACCACCGAATAATTCATCAGCCACCAGCCAAGAAAACGTGATAGGAAAGGTAGGCTACATGAAAGCTTCATTTAGTGACGATGGAAGTGTACATATCAGCCGATTTGGTTTTTTGGGCCTTTTTTCAAACCTTATGTCTTGTTGTGTCTCGATGTTAAACACGAGTATCTTTAATGTGTAAACTGGTCGGTAGAATGATAATTACCCTAAAAAAAATTATTTGCTCCGCTAAAAAAACTAATTTACTATCCATCAACCCGTCAAACCAATGGCCCCACCTCAAAACCAATGGGTTTTTACTAGTATAAAGTATTCATAATGTTATGATTATACCGTACTGAATTTTGGGGATCAAACAAAATCAGCGCATATGAAGAACGTGCCAAGTTCAATATAAATGTCTTCTCAAAACCAAATGGAATATGATTGTTTTTCTTTTATAGTAAATATATAATTTAGTAGGTGTACTGTAATTTTGTCAAGTATTTATCAAAATTAATGAATTCGAAATAAACAAATGATTACAAATATTTGAAATAATTACAAATATCCAAAATATTTGGATTTACGAATAGAGTAATAAAAAGGGGTGTAAGATTACGGTTAGGAACCCTAATTAATTGTTTGTTGTCCCATTAAATTGTTAATAAACAAATATTTCTATTTAAATAAAATAAGCTTCAAAATTTTTGATGAATGATATTTTAAGTGTGTGATTTGTGATCAGATGACTTTGTCAAATAAATCAAACAAATTGTTTTATTTTTTCTATGGACAGTACTTGGTCATATAATTTAATTTTTTTTTGGATAAACATTTCTATTATACAGTTGTTTACAGAGGATGAACGGGATACATAAGAAAATTTTATTTAAAATCGATTGTGATAAGATTACTAATCTATATGTGAAAGCAAAAATTCAAAAATTCGTTATTATAGTCCACTGTGACAAGGTTTGAGTTTACTAAAAAGAAAGACTAATAAACTATATACATTATAGAGAAAATAATTTTGTGTAGATAAATTCTGGCTAATGTTATGCAATTTGGTAATTGTTTCATATTCCATTGTGTATGCAAAGAAAAACGAAATGATAAAGGAATTAATGGAAGAGAGTGTAAGATTATTGAAAAGAAAAAGGATATTAAATCTAGATATATACGTAGTGCGTGAAGATGTTAATTATATTATTGTTGTCGTTGCCATTATTAGTATTATTATTGTAGTTGGGTGGATATCGTTCAATTACAGGAAATGCATTATAGAAATTATTATTATTACACAAAAATTTTTTTAATTGAAAGTCACTTTGAATGTCGTTGTATCCATTGGTTATCCGGTTAAACATTACTTTTCAACACCCGGTTAACCGGATATCATTCGGCGGATACAACCACTATCAATTTGAAATTTTGAGTATTTTTACAAATTGTAGCTAGATGATTAGCCACAAATGAGCTTTAACACATAGCTATGTAAAATCTTCATGCAATATTCCAGGAAAGAAGTTCAAAATAAACAATCCTCATCAAGCATACTCATCAACATCATTATCACAATCACATCACAACCTCAATCACCTTCATCTTCACAATCACACATCAACTGTTACCAAATGTAACAACCATCATCCCCAAAATCGCATTCATTTATCCTACCAGTTATATTATTTGGTGCAGCTGTACAGGGATTAATTCTCATACAAAAGGACATGCTCGTAGAGGTGATGGCAAGATATAGAAGATATTGCACTGTTATAATAATCTTCAATGTTTTCTTTTAAGCTGATTAATTTCTTTTGCAAACCCAATATCTTTTCTTCTTGTTTAGAGAATAATGATTAAAAAAAAATACTTAAATAATAACTGTATTGGATCAATCCACAAATATTAATTTATTTGAAATAAATTAAATAAATTGATACTAATGTACATTTTTATCAATTTTATTTTCTTTGATATTTTCTTTATTTGATGATGATTTACTATGCAAGTACAAGAAAGTCAAGGTTTTAGATCTCAAATATAACCAGGCTTGACCATTTTTCTTAACAACTAGAGTGATGACGAGTGGCAATAACCACCATTCTTATAATAAACACTTATTCACTTTTTTTAACTTCATATTGTTGTTTTTCTCTTTGTTTCTTCGTTTTTCATTCGATTTATTCATTTTTTAAATATATATATAAAAAAAATACCGTTTGAAAAAAACCATTATTGGCATTTGGTGTTGTACAAGAATTTTTTTTTTGGTCAGACGCGAATTGATTTTTTTTTTGACAGGTCCAAGATGATAAAACGTGGTTCTCCTAAAGAAGAAGTGTTAATAACTAATCAGAGGTACTTTTTTTATTTGTATTGATATAATGTGGTGACTTTTTTAGTTTATAAATATTATAATTGGGGAGCGGAACTTTCTGGGTAATTATAAGATCCTTATCAAGATAGTAAACAATTGGTATTTTGCTTTGCGTAATCAATATTAATGTTAATATTATTATAAATATATAATCACATGTCAGGCAATACACCATTGAAAAAGAAACATTTCTATATGATTATTGGAAATTAGCAGATGTTAAAGCACGCATGCTACCTTGAACACTTTACAATCAGTCTCATCTTTCTCGTGTACACAAGGCTAAACTGACCACGGTGCCCCTGACGATATAATGATGCAACAGAATTCCAGGGAGGGGCGCAAGGCCCTGGAGCCTACCAAGACTGCATCAATTGTCAATGACACTTTTGATAATCTTCACAGCACCAGACCAGAGAAGGCTTGCTGCCATGTTGGCTGAAAAGTTTCCTGCAACAATCCTACCTATAGGGTAAGAATGGCTCTGTGATTAAGCTGTAACTCTGCAGAATTTTGAAAAGTTGTAATATTAGGTGTAGATAAACATCCAGGTCCATCAAAGCAATGAGAATCTGCAACTTGTTTCAAGCACAATTCAGAGTGGAATTGGTGACTCTGAAATTGAATTTCAGCTCTATGGTTTTATGGTTTACAACTTTTATGACTTTAGGGTGTCATGCCGAATTGCCATAATTCAGGTAAAATGGGTTAGATTTTGTTTGGTATGTTATATATAAATTAATCATTTTTATAAATTCTCTGTTTCTTTAATTTTTGTTTGACCAACTGAATTTGTTATTTAAATGGAGTATTTTTTTTTTGTGAGTAGGTGTCCTCAACAAAACAGCAACTCAGGTTGCTGCCTCCTCAGTTGCAGATGCCTATTTTATTATAACTTATGCTAGTGGATGGTGATAACACAAGGCAAGCATTACACAAATTCTGATCCTCATCAGCAATCAATGCCCATATGGAAACAGCCAGCCTGGTCTGAGAGGAAGATAAGAGAAAGTTTTGCCCAAAGCCTTCCAACTTGTTCAATTTACCTCCTCTGTAGGAATGGAAAATCAAATGGTTTGTGGTGTGCAATTGCATGACGCTTGCTTGTTTGTAATAGGAAATTTTATTTAAATTTTACACCTGTGATCAACATCAGATTTATTATTCATAAGGAAATTTTCTTTTTGATACCAGAAATCTGGTAGACACATATATCTATTGTTTTGAAATCAGGTTCCTTAAAAAAAAATTCATTTCTGCATAGTATTATTTATTACTTGGGTGATGCAATTGTTCGTTATTTCAATGATAACATCAAATATATTGAATAAACATCAAAATCATCATGAATATAATTAATGGATGCATGTATTCACATATATAAGAAAAGGGTTAAATAACAACAAGCTAAGTCATATTTATTTTTTATCCAACTAAGATATATATTTAAAAATATTGCCAATTATATAATAACATTTTACAATTAAGATTATTTATAATAATCATTGTATCAATTTATAACTTAGTTCCATAAATAAAGGATGTTTGATTATTTTGAAAATATAATTTTTCTAAAACAATAACATTTTCTATGGTTTCTTATCAACAATATGCAGAAAATTTCATTGGTAAGATGATCAATTCTTTATTAACTTGTTATTGATGAAAACAAAATATCACAAATATTCATTTATTAAATACTTTATTTATATTTTTTTTGATTGATACTATCTGATAAATACAAACATAATAGAATTATAAGGTTGTCTTTTCCCATTTTGACTATTGATGATAGGTCAATTTAAATTTAGACCATAATCCATTTTTATTAATTTAAGACTTGCTGTAATAGTTTTTTTTGTTCACGTTAATTTCGAGTAACATTATGGCACAGTTGCAGAAAATTTACGTGTCAAAATTAAAGCATTATATATTTATCTTCCAGCTTGCCGTAATTTGACCGTTCCCTTCTTATTCTTTAATCTCATATGCGGAAGCAAAGGCGAAACTTTATATATAAACTTACGTCTCAATCATCAATGATAGATCGTTATGTATTGATACCTTAAATTTGGTATGCTTTGCAATAGTTTTTCCGTAGCGTTGAACATTTTCGCTTATTTATTTTTCAAAAAAAAAAGTTTGGTTTAATTACCATTATTTTATTATGCATGTATGTATGGTGCATGTCAGTGTATAAATTACTAACTATATTAATATTAACATCAATAATTATCACCAAAGTCTAGGTGCTTTTCCAAAAACAGTAATAAAATTTATCTATGAATTTTTCGGGGTCCTCATGCACCATATAATCACCATAATTCATTTTTTGTCCAAGTATGGTACTGAAATTATGAAATTGAAAATTGTTTGTACAAGTTGCACTAACGGTTCCGCTTATCATTATCCATTTAGAATTAGAAATCAAATTAAAAAAATTGTAAATTATTTTATTTATAAATAAGAAATTTTAATAATTCTATTTAACTTTAATATTAATTTTTAAAAACCAAGAAAAAATGGATGGAGATGCAAAGTTAATATTATCATTAATTGCAAAAATTAATATGAAAGTACGTTAAATCAAATAATTTCATATATATATATATATATATATTATATATTAAACAGTCTAAATTCATTTTGTAAACTAGCTCTTTGCTTATTAATTTTTTCTTGAAAGTTACCATGTAATAGTGGTAAAAAATTAGAGATTTTAGAATCAGATCCTTTAATGTTACAGACAGTAAATTCAATAATCGATTTATCAAGATATAGACTTAGTTTTATAGCAGATAATCTTGCGCGTTTGTTAGAGACCATATCAAAGGTATCTAAATCTATTTATCTATCAATTGATTGTTTGATAATAATAAATTTAATTCTAATAGTAGAATAATTTTCTTGGTGTCATTGATAAATTTTTTAATTTATTAGACAACATTACCGAATGCTACTGAAGAAAACATTCCGATTGATATTTTGCAATCTCAATTATTCATTATTAAAATACTTTCAGCATGTGTAATAAATCATTGGACATTCGTTCAAGGAATAAATCGTTCATTAGCAAAACAACCACAATCAGAAACTACCCAAACACATTTGGGAGGTTCCAAATCCAATCATAACTATCATAATTCCACAAATGGTCATAGAGTATTCATACCACCAAAATCATCTGATGATCCTCCTCCATTAGAGGATTTTCTTGCTAAATTTATTTTAAGTGTTTTATCAAGGTTTCTTCAGCAAATGGCTAATTTAGAAGATAATACTAATAGCGACAAACAAAATTTAAATTTAAATGCTCAAAATCAGGCTTCAATAAGTTTATCTGCAAATTTAAATTTGGGTTCTATTATATATGAAATTATCTCTGATATTTACAGGCATGCTGGCCATGTTATTTTTTACATAAGCGCCTCAAATTGGAATGTTGTATTTTCAAGAATTAAGAGCAGAATAGGTTATTTGACATCTACAAATGATGACTGGCCAGAGACTGCAGAATTAAAATTTTTGGAATGCTCTGATTTAAATTCAAAAAGATTATCAATAGTTATACAAGGTTTTAACATATTTTTATATCAATTTAATTAAGTTTAAATTTAAATATATATTAATAATGTTAATGTTTGTATAGAGTTATGTGGTTCATTCCTTAATCTTAAAAAGTCGGCACAATTAGCTATGGCCCAGGTTTTACGTAAATCTATTTGGAATTGGATTAAAGTTTTTCCTGAAGAATTTATAGCTTTATGTCAAAGTGAAAAACGTCTGGAAGGTGGTCCTGAAATTTTATTTGATATTTGTAATAATCTAGCTGATAACAACCGTAGGAAACAATTTTTTTGGCCATTACAGACAATGTTGTTGATTTTGTGCCCTGATATTCTTCATAGCGCGGCATCGAGTGAGCGTACACCTGTTATGTCAAAAAAAGTATTTCATACACATCTTTATTTATTATTTAAAAATTGTCTTTTATCTTTTGAAAATTAAAATACAATAATTTATAATTGTAAAAATTGAATAATTTCAGGTGGCTTTTCTTGAGAATTTGAAAAGTTCTCTAAAAAGGCCTCGTTTAGCTGAAGTTGCCGTTGAATGTTATGTTGATATATGTAAAGCTTCAACTTATGTGTCTAGGAAAGATTCAAAAGCTTTACGTTTGATTGTACCAGAAATCGAGAATGATTTACAGGTATATTATAAAGTAAAAATAAAAATAAAAAAAACCAAATTATTTATTCATTCATTAATTATTATTTTTTTTAAAAAAAGGAAAGACTTTTTGATCCTGCTAGAAGCTTGACATACGATAATCAATTTGATCAAAGCCTTATGACTGATTGTTTGATTGCCTTATTCAAATTAAACGATACTACTTTAAAATCATTAATTCCGGTCTGTCTAAATGAAAATGCACCGAGTGTTTTCAAATTAGTATTGGTTAAAAGCTGTTATGTTATTGCTTCAGATGTATAGTCACAATTTTATGTTTATTGTCTCTCTCTTTTTTTTTTTTTTTTTTTGAGTATTTCTCAAACTTTAATAACTCTCTTAATAATTTATTTTAAAAGGAAAATAAATTTCCTTGGAACCCGCAGCTTTCAACAATGTATCCTGTTCTTGCTACACCACTTCGAAGTTTATTTCATCAATATATTACCAGTCGTGATAAGCTAGATGTTAAGAAAAAGAAGCAAACAAAAGAAAGACCAGATGAAACCAACGAAAGAATGGAAATTATTTTAACGATCTTGAAATTGTATAAATCTGATCCTTTGCTAGTACTTATAGTAAGTTTCAAAACTAATGATTTTCAAAATTAATTGATAAACACATTTTAAAACTTATAATGATAAAATATATTGCATTTAGCATAGTGATGCAAACGAGAACCCTGAGGAGATTCAAATGGTCATTTACGGGATGACTCTATGTGTAAACGATTACAATCCTGTAATTCGCACCACTGCAGCCGAAACATTATTAAAGTTACATGATTTAAAATACATTGAACAATGGAGTCCAAATGGTAAAAAGATGCGTAATTTTTGGGCTATCAGGTAGAGTAATTTTCGGTTTTTATTTTTATTTTTATTTTATTTTTCTAAAAATACTTTAAAATAATATTTAATCGAGTATTCATTACTTTTAGTTCACAAGTTATGTTAGCTATTGCTAGACAAATATTAGAATATAAAGAACCTGAAGAGAGTACAAAATATTTGCTTGATCTTTTACTTCAATTATTTAAACGACGTAACGAATTCTTAAAAGCTCATAAGGTATTTTTTTATATTATATCATGCTTTTGTTTAATGTTTTGACATCATTGATTAAAATATCTTTTTTTTTAAAAAATTTTAAATAAATAAAAAAAAAATATATAAAGGATGAATCTCACATTGGCATTAATACACCTGAAAGGCTTGGCTGTAATATTGTACTTGAAATTGCATTATTAGTTTTGTTATGCTCATCAGATACAGAAATTTGTTCAATGTCAATGAGTTGTTTTGGTCATTTATGTCAAGAGGCTCAGCTAACTGCTGAACTTATAGGCGACGAAGTAGACATTCAAGCTGTTCCACCCTCAGAATTACCAATTGTAGAGAATATGGATGTATATTTGGAGTTATCTTCAGAACCATCCATAGTTCCAGGTAATAAATATATTATTAGTAAATAAAGAAATTATGGAATGTTGGATTTTTTTTTAAAATGTAAATAATTTATAGGACGAATTGCACAACAAAAACGTATAAGAAAGTTACTTCGGTTGATGAAGAAACCCACCCCAGGAAATCTTGCAGCATGGGAAGAAGCTTACAAACGTTGGAAAGTATTGACATCATTGATTGCAAGGTCAACAGATGACCAAACAATATTAGAAGATGTGGGCAAAAAAAGAATGGCAAAAATGGCTAATCAATTTACTGTAGTACCTACAGATGTAAGTTATTAGGGCCATGCGTAGTTCTTTATTTTTTTGTGTGTATGTCTCTGTATGGAAAATAATTTTAAAATTATATTTCAACAATTTATAGTCTCAATCAAATGAATGGCTGAATTACACTGGATTTCTTGCAGCAATAGGAGGGTGTTGTGTTAACGAAAAGCAAATAAATATAAATGGTGATGGCAAATTTTATGATCCTTCAGGAAATGAGCATAATGAACATATAATTGTAGGTCCTCAAGGATCTGATTATCATTCAATGGCCGAGCAATTTGTTCAAGAGATGTTTGATTTGTTGGTATGTGATACAGTTTATGTTCGTGAAAATGTTAAAGAGATGCTTGGTTCAGAATTGAGTCCAAGATTATATGTTATTCTTTTTCGAAATCTTGAGTCAGTTGTTTCACGGTTTTTTGATGCAGATGGGGAGGCAAAGTCAAATGAAAGATGCACAATTTTTGCGGAACAAGCAATATCTATTTTGAAATTGATACTTGAACGTATTCAAGATGCATCCGAAAATTTGTATACAGTTGATCTTGGTGGACTTGTTTTATCATTTGCCCGATATTTAAATAGACTAGAATCCAACAGTGTGGCACTTCGTGTCAAAAAAAAGATGTGTCAACTCGCCGAAGTATTAATGATCAAGAAAGATTATATTACCCTCCGGCAAGAGATCAAATTAAGAAATAAATTATTAGAAATATTTATTGAATGGACATTGGATTATTCTATGGTAAAACCAGATACATATAAATTAATTATTTGATTGATTTTTCTCAATCTCGTACTTATACATTTTATATTGTTAAATAAACTCAAAATAGAAAACTGATGGAAAAGGCAATGATGATATTTCATCGAGTAAGAGTGAACGAATGCATCGTGATCTAGATCAGGCTTGTTTAAAAGCAATTGTTTCCATTTTGGCACAATTGCCTTTACAACCATCGGAGACAGTACATGAAGCAGATCTTAGCCTTGTTAAATCACGTTTATTTTATAAATATTTCACGTTTTTCATAAAATTGTTAAATCGATGTCGTATTTTAGAAGTAAGTTAAATTACGAAAAAAAAAAATAAACTAAATATGAAATTAATTAAAATAAATAATCATACATAAATTTTTATTTTATTTAAAGGCCATTGATAGCGGAACACAATCTGCAAAAAATAATCCTGATTTACAATTGCTTTTGTCAAGGGTAAATATATATTGAATGTATAGTTTTGTTCAATTAAAATCTTATTATAAATTTATTTATATAGTTTCTTTTTTATAGTCTAAAGAATATGTCAAAGATCTAGGTCCATTGAAAGATTACACTATTTTGGCATTAAGTAATTTGCTTAGTGCTAATGTGGATTCAGGGCTAAAGCATTCTCTTTCGATGGGTTACCATGAAGATACTAAGACAAAAACTGCTTTTATGCAAGTACTTACAAACATATTAAACCAGGGCACCGAATTTGAAGGACTTGCTGAAAATGCAATGGATGATAGATTTGATAAGCTTGTGGAGGTATTTAATAGGGTTACTCTCCTCTCTTAAATTTATTGATTATTCATGAATTAAAATTAATTTTTATTACTTTGTATTCTTTTTTTTATATATTTCATAGCTAATAACTGATTCTGATTTGAGTATTGCGCTTTCACTTTGTGAAGTCTGTCCTGTGTCTGATATTGATGAAGTTTCCCGAGTTCTTTTAGCTGTTTTTGATTCACGTCATCAAACCATGCCTTTGCTAAAAGCTATTATTGAAAAAGAAGTAGCAAATACAGGTACTTGATTTATTAGATTGACTATGACTTATTTTAACCAGACAGTTCTAAAACAAATAAAAAATTAATTATTAATATCTGTTCGTCCTGACAATTATTATTTATTTTCAAGAATATGAGTCAGATTTATTCCGTCGCAATTGTATGGCCACTCGTATGTTGACAGCCTTCGGCAAAACTCACGGAGCTGAATATTTACGTAAAACCTTACAGCCACTTTTGGCTAATTTGTTAAATCAACAAAATGATTTTAGTTATGAGCTTAATCCTGCAAATTTAGGACCTGATGAAGACATTTCAAAAAATTTACAGAATTTGATAAATACTGCAAAATCATTTTTAGATGGTATATGTGCATCAGGCCGTAATATGCCAATGTAATTACTTGTAATTATGTGTATATGTATATGTATATTGTATAATGTATTTAATTGTTTGTCTGTTTTCATGCATTTAGATTATTTCGTGAAGTCTGTCATTATATTGGAAAATCTGTAGAAAAAAAATATCCACAGGCGAAATGTACAACTATTGGTGCTTTTATATTTCTTCGATTTTTTAATCCAGCTATTGTGGCACCAGATAGTGAAAATCTTTGCGATACCATCAAAAACGCAAAAATCCGCCGAACATTATTGCTAGTTACCAAAGTTATACAAAATCTTGCAAACAATGTTCTTTTTGGTGCAAAAGAACCCCATATGATTTTGTTGAACAATTTTTTGGATGATAATATTGTTAAGATGACTGCTTTTCTTGAAGAAGTTTCCGTAAGTAAAACACAAATTTCATGAATTTTATAAGAATCGCCATGATTTAATTTTGCTAAATTCAAGCTTCTCTAATTTAGGAATTACCTATTAATACACTTGCCGAACATGAACCGAGGGAGGCATCTAATATAAATAGATTAAGTGACGCTAGTCAGAAAGCATTCCATAGACATCTTGTTGAAAATCAAGAAAGGATTGCCAAAGATCTTCAAACATGTAGGGTAAAATCTATTAGCTCTACAGTGCACAACAATATATCTTTAGATTGTATTCATGCAAATAAAAAGACTTGGGATAAAATTTCAACCCTTCTTGCACAAATTGGTCCACCAATTGAAAGTCAGAAGAAAGATTTTGCTGTCATTGGAACAAATCATTTTGAAACAAATAATCAGCTTTTTTCAGAATTTATGCGTAGAAATGCAAACAGAAACATCGATTCAATAATATCTAAAGAAATATTTTACAAAGGAGGTGTTTCAAAAGTTAGTTATAAATTTATATTATCCTTTTGTTTAAATAAAAAAAAAAATAAAAAAAATTATAAAATAGGAATTAAAACAAGTTTTTCTTTTAGGAAAAAAGACCATTATTTTATTTAATTTTACGTAGACTTGAGCCTGATTACATTGATATGGATCTTTTAATGTATCATATTTTACATGTAAGTGTTATCTAGATCCCGTGATATTGTATAATATTTATTTGATCGGTTGGTTGAAATTGCTTTGTTGTCGTTTTTTTTTTTGTAGATTATTGAGCCGTTTATGACCAAACCGTATGAAATCCTCGTTGACTTGACTAAATTTGGGCAATCTAACAAAATTCAATCTCAATGGATTCAACAATTTATTCTAATTCTTCCATTTCATATAGTTGATAACCTAGCCACATTATATTTTTATAATGCAAATACAGCTTTTAAGAACTTTTCCAAAAAAATTACATATATCCTTTTTTTAACACTGTTAGAAACAAACAATTATAATTATGATGCTGTATGTGCCATGGACTACTATTGGACCTTCCATAATACTTTTGCCACACGTGAACTACCTCTTCGTTTTTCCTACTCTTCCGAACCATCATCGCTAAATGTAAGTGACAGTTATCCTTGGCCTCCGACCTCTTACTATCCATACTTCTATAACCCTACTGTTCAACAACAGATCTATAATGGTGAGCCAGTACAAGTGTTCAGTTGTTGGAATGGTGTGGTAGTCATGAATGCTGAACCTTTTGTGAAACATAATGTAAGGTTTCGTGCCTTGATGCCATTACTTGAAGAAGGTTTACCATTTGAGGCAAGTGAATGTTGTTTGGTGTATAGTGATTTTAGAAAATTGGGTTACAATAAGATATTTATCAATCCAAATGTTAGGGTATGTTATTTCTATCTATCCAAAATTTATTATCATTATTATTTAATAATAGTAATAACAATTACATACAGGTTTCTTATAAATATCGATTTTATATTTGGTCCAATTACATCCTACCAATCATAAACAAACTGTTTTTCCAATACTTAAATCATCCAACTCCGCCGTCAATATTCTCTGATGAGGGATTAAAAATGCAAGACATCATGGTGAACGTAGCAAAGTATAACATATCAGAATTAGATAAAATTTGTTTACAATAAATAATATAAACTATAAAAATAATAATTTATACTTGGATCAACAATAATAAAATCACAGAATTAATTTTAATTTTAATTTTATTATTATTATTATTATTATTATTGCTACTACTGCTAGCAAATTAAAATCATTAATCTAATCTATCTACGATCACACATTAATTAAGATCCTTTCCCAATTTTCGATTAAAATTTTTATTGATCATTATCTATCTATCTATTTTATTATTTAAAAAACTATTGATGTAACTCGCACATCTTCAACGTTTGAAAGTGAAATAGTAGAACTTAAATATTTTTTATATTTTCAAATCTATTACTATATACCTAATAATCTGTTCCGAGTTTTTTAGTAATCTCTGTTGGTTTGGTTGCGGGTTCCTCAATTGGTGGTAGTCTCAAGAACCCTGCATCCGATTCTTTTGGGTTGCGCCCATTTCCCCAACATCTCATTTCATCAACTAAATTGACTACCCTATACAAACTGAATCGAGGCTAGTTTTATGATTGCACTTTAGAAA